GCCAGAGCGCTTATTTCTTTGTTTATTTGGCTTTCAGCCAACGAGAGGCTGGACTGATTAAAAAACATTCTTATTTACGTTTGTCTCAGCTTTCGTTCCTGGACAGAGGAGGGGCGTCAGAACACGTAACTAGCAAATCATTATTAGTTTCCAGAACATCTACAATTTATTAATTCTTTGTAATTAGTCATTCTGTAAAATAATTAAATTTAAATATTTCATTCCTTAACAATTCATATTTCATAGAATTATTGAATGTAAGATTGGGAAAATGCTATAAAGATATTCAGTTAAATCTGCAAGAATCCCTTATTACAGTAACTATGACAATGGCCATTCAACCTTTGTTTAAATATTTCAACTAAGGGAAATCCACCATTTATCAGGAGGCAATCTGTTCTTCTAATGTTTGTATAATTAATATATTTTTTCTGATGTCAAACTGAAATTGACTTCCTTCTAATTTAATCCCATTGTTTCTTAATGTATCATTTAATAAATACATAGTATATTGCTACCCATCAAAAGGAACTCTCAGCAGTAAACAAAATAAAATATACAACTTAAAGTAACCAAATTGAGGCTTCTGTAAAAAAATAATACCTTCCCACACATAATAACTTGCATGTTTGTATCTTACATACAAACAGAGTTCCATTAAGATTCCAGGCAAACTCCGGTGAGAGAAGTCAAGGTCTTCATGTCTTTCAAGAAGGTCAACAAAGTCGTCTCCCGAAAATAAGACCTCCCCAGATAATAACTCCAATCGGGCTTTTGAGCGCATGCGCTAAAATAAGCCCTCTCCTGAAAATAAGCCCTCCCTGAAATTATTGCAACACAGCAGCAGTCATGTGGTGATCACATTCACCGCCTCCTATACCTCAAAAATAATAAGACCTCCCCAAAAATAAGGCCAAGCACTTATTTTGGGGATCATAAGAAAATAAGACACTGTCGGTACTCCAAAAACTGAGAATGCTTTTTTTGTGTCCAAATAATGTCAAGTTTTCTCACTGATCTTTCCTCCTTTTTTCTCTTGCAGTAACAATATCAAATATTGGAGAAAAAAGTAAGTAATAGCTATTTTTCCTACTTTGTAGTTTATAGAATTTAAGGCTGCTATAATGTGCATGTGTTCAGGCACTTCATCAAAATTTTATTTATTTCAGCAATAAATAATTGAAGATTGCATGCCTTTTTAAATTGGATTTTAGGCTGCATTTTTGTTTCTATGTCTCCCTATAGCTAGATCATTAAACCTAAGTAAGCAATGATTATCAGGTTTTCTAAAGAAAAAGGGGACAGAAGGTTGATCTATCTTCTCTATGTGTATGACCAGATACAATCAGATTCTTTATAATATAATAGAATAAATTGAGGTAACTTTAGTTGATACTACCAGACTCCTTCCCATTCCTATACTTCTATTTGCTGCATTAAAACCAAGATTGTAGTACTTATATTACTCCTTGCCCTAGAAAACGGGGCAGAACCAGTCAGGAAACTGTTAAGGAATATATAACAGTGTCTATCTTGTGTATTGCTATGAATTTTGTCCTATCTCCTACTGAGGCTAATATCATTGCCAAACTAAGCTATTTTCTTGTTTTTCTTTGATTATATCTTCTTTATTTTAGTAGTTAAATTGTAGACTTCTTGAGCAGAAATTTATCAGCTTTTTTATTCCATCCATAAATTATATTATGTAGTAAAACTATTGATGTATTGTGAACCATTGGAAATGTTTGGCTCTTTTCTTTTTTGGTTGTCTGTATATCTCTGACAATTTCTATCTGCTTAATGTCTTAATGTTATGATCTTGTTTTAGTGGTGTGCCTGATTGCGTATCATCTATTTTTCATGATGTTTTTGTGGTCTTACTGGAAAACAATCTTTACATTACCAATGAATCCTTCCAAAGAAGTAAGTTATAATTTTCTGTAAGGAAAAAAAAACTTGTTTACTATTTTTTTTCTGGTGCACAAAGGTTCTGTGTGTATACAGTAAATAACATCCTACATAAATATATTCTCTCTTGCTTTCCATCTGTTCATCTGAAGACACAGGTTACCAACATGTGCACTCTATTGATAATATCAAAGCTTTTAATATCCTGTTTCCCCGAAAATATGACCTCCCCGGATAATAAGCCCAATCGGGTTTTTGAGCGCATGTGCTAAAAAAAGCCCTCCCCTGAGAATAAGCCCTCCCTGAAAATATTGCAACATAGCAGTAGCCATGAGGTGATCATGCTCGCTGCCTCCTGCACCTCAAAAATAATAAGATCTCCCCGAAAATAAGTCCAAATGCTTATTTCAGGGGTCAAAAGAAAATAAGTTCCTGTCTTATTTTCAGGGAAACATGGTATTTATTGAAAAACATCCGTTTATATCGTGTGATCTTTCATGTACTTATTCTTTTTTCCCTAATTTGCTATTATAGAAATAAGGATATGTTGTATAAAAGGGAAAATACCCTCCAAAAAGTATATTCAGTACCTTAATACTGAATTTTCTTAGTCTTGTCATCAGCTCAACTAATTGTGGTGGTAATAATGTTAACATATTTAAAATACCATATTATTAAATAAAATAAAAAATATATAATTCATTACAACGTATATAAATGGAGAAATGTAATATTCCTTGATCTTAATAAAGGAAACAAGGAAAATCATTTTTGTTTCTATAGGCAGACCTATTATTTTTAATTATTTAACTAATATACAATAAAGCATTATTTTAAAATGTTGGCTTAAATATATGTATAACAGTCATTTTATAATTACTTGCAAAGGCCCACTTCTTTCATTAAATAATATAAAACATTGCTGATAATAATGCTGTTTATTCAAGGATTTCTCTTCTCCACTGTGATCAAGATTGTCTTTTAACCTCATTTTCAAATTGCCTTTCAAATTATTTCTTAAAGAAGTTAAGGGCAGATTTAGTTTTAATATATGAAATATTATATCACTTTTATAGGGAAGAGAGATTGATGTATTGATTTTCAATATTGCACAATTTTAAAAAATCAAAATTTTAAATAATTGTCTTTTTATTTGTTTTCTTTTGTTTTTAAGAATATGAATGTACTTCCTTCCTACCAATTTCACTTAGCAATATTGGAGGGTTTATTATACAGGATTCCCTTAAAAAAACTCTCAGCACAATCCAGGCTTTAATAAATCAGATCCTTAATTATGGATAAAGTTATAATTTCATGTTCAAACAAATGTGATTACAGGTGATCCTTGAGGTACAACAGGCTATTTAACGAATGTTTGAAGTTACAACACACACACCAAAAGCTAAATACAAACCTGTTTCAAAGTTACGAACCCTGTAGTAGCCTCATGGTCATTTGCCCTTATGACCAACTACATAGATCCTGCAGTGCAGCCACCCATGTATTACCATCCCATCCTTCCCAGCCAGGTCCTCATAGGCATTTGGGTCTGCTTTGCCAACATATCAGGTTCCATCCACTCCTCCCTACCCCCACTCCCTGGTCACCATTTGCTTATCCAGAGCTCAGGAAGTCAGGATAGAAAAGACCTCTCCCTTGCTCCACCCACCCGGCACAATCAAGAAAAAGAAACCCTATCACTTTTGCTTATATTGCAATCCTTTCCTTTCCAGTGAGTATAAATCACTACAATTTCTTCTTAGAGCCACCAGTACTAGCTTTACGCTAGTCTTATGCTGCAAAGCTAAGAAAAAAATGTTCCCATTTTGTCCCTTGCAATCCTTTCCTCTCCAACTAACTTAAATTGGTAGCTGGCTGTCAAGGAAATGATTGCAAAGGAAGCAAAAGCGATGGGGTTCTTCTTTGCTCTGCCAGCATATGACTAGTCTAATGGTGACGCTAAAAAGAAATCATGCCTATTTTGGTTCCTTGCAATCCTCTCCTCCCCAGTGTAAATTGATATGATTTCTTCTTGGCGCCACCAGTGCTAGTTTTACGCTGGCAGAGCAAAGTAGAAATCCCATCACATTTGCTTCTGTGGTAATCTTTTCCTCCCCAGCCAGCATAAATCACTACTAATTTATGATGGCTGGGGAGGAAAGAATTACAAGGAACCAAAATAGGCATGATTTACACTGGCTGGGGAGGAAATAGTTGCAATGGAAGCAAAAGCAAGAGGATTTTTTCTTGATTTTGCCCTTGAGCAAAGAAGCAGCCTTCTCTACTCCAACATCCTGAGCTCTGGATATCTTCAAAAGGTATGTGTGCAGTTGTGATGGGGTGGGGTATGGAGGTGGCATATAGAGCTCTAGGAAACCCAAGGGACAGGAGGCAGACCATGGGATATCTCAGAGGGTGCTGGAGGCCTCCTAGGTGTGCCTGTGCCTGCACTACACCTCCCTCGGTTTCTCACACCCCTTAGTCACCTCATTCTCTACTTAACAACCTGTGCATTTGTTTAATGGAAGCATTGGGGAAAGCAGGGACAAAGTTGTTAATCATGTGCTTCATGTAACATAGTCCACGACTTCTGACACAAATGGGCAATCTCCATTACTGTGATAAGTTGATAACCTGTATAGATAGACTTTCTGAATTGAGAAAGAAGCAGCCACATCTGCTTGCAAAGAATTATCTCTTTAGTTTCAAACTTTCCAATATTTAGGTAAATGTTTAAAGATGATTATACCAAATGGTTAATAAATAATGATTCAAGAACTGCATTATTTCCTAGTTCCATCTGAGCTATTCAGATAAGGAATTGCTGGAAAGAGAACCTAGAAATGAAACCCATCAAGAAGTGCTAAAGAGGGCAGCCAAGGACCTCCCTATCAGTACAAGAACCATGTCTGGAGGTAAATATTTGTCAATAATAATGTCTTTCTGATTATCCTCCTTATTTTCAGGGAGGTCTTATTATTTTTGAGGTGCAGGAGGTGGCGAGTGTGGTCACCTCATGACCGCTTCTGTGTTGCACGTAGTGGCTGTTAGTGTGACAGGAGTGCGGTGGCTAAAGTTGTGGGAGTGGCCATTAGGTAAGGGTTTGTGGGGTGCCTGGGGCATGTTCCCCTCTCCCTTCCCCCCCCTCCAGTCTCGCCTCACCTCGTGTTGTCTGCACAGCAACCAACCAGAGGAAATGGGGGGACCGACTGTGCATGTGTTTAAATATTTTTGGAGGAGGGCTTATTTTAGCGCATGCTTATAATCCAGGGAGGTCTTATTTTCGAGAAAACAGGGTATAATGTATAACACCATTTATTTTTTGTGTCCCAAAAGAAACATGAGATTGTTAGCAAAATGACTTTTTATTACATACTTTTCACAGTTGTCTGAGATATGCAGGAAGATATACACAAGGTAGCAAGTAGGGTAAACATGAATCTTTTTGTGTCTTTACAGCAATCAGATATTGTGATAGATGCCAACTTATAAAACCAGATCGTTGCCATCACTGTTCTGTCTGTGATAAGTAAGAAACAAAGATTACAATATTTGCAAAACTCAGAATTTATTTCCATCTTGCCTGTTGAAAGTGATTTCAGAAATTTTATTTGTTTGTTTGCTTGCTTGCTTGCTTGCTTAAGCACTTATATAGCCATCCATCTTATCTCAAACTCTGGGTTGCTCCTAATCAAAAATAAAAATAACATAGAAGCATATTAAAACTATTAAAACCAAAGACATAAAACCAAGAACCTGAACCCAAACCAAACTTCACCTCAATTTATGCCAGCCAGAGGCTGATTTGATGGTACGACAAAATAAGGAAGTTATCATATGAATGATATCTAAGTCAGCTCAAGCACAAATGAAATTACTCATTTAGATGCTGGTCCAGTTATACCGACTGAAGTTATGGACTAACTTGTTCTGTGGTTAAGATTGGCTTTGGCATAAAAGTTTTGTTGCAGTCTGATTAACTTTTCTGTGAATTCTATAAAATAATCTACATTGTTTGTATTTTTAAGATGTATTTTGAAAATGGATCATCACTGTCCCTGGTAAGTAATTTTTTGTCATTATGAATATCAAAAACATTGAGAAACTGGTTGTCTTTATTAGCAAAAAAAATAAAAGATTTTACTGAAAAAGATTTTAGTGACACTGTTGAAACCAGTTTCTTTCACAAACTCCAGGGAAGGAGTAATATACTAGTTCAAAAGCTGTGTATTTTGTGGAAAATATTGAAAGAACTATCTTACTAAGCCCAGTTCATCTTTCTGTTTTTAATTTTGGCACTATTACATGTTTGTTTATGTTTGTAATATTATTATGAGTTATACTATTCATTGATGTAACTCCTTTATTTAAAGAATTATTGTAATATGAAAAACAGAAGTGTTTATAATAACAAATGGAGTATTATAAATGATATTTTGTGTGGGTATCCATTCATACATATATTTTCAGCAGTTTGTATTCTCTTTTCCTAGGGTGAACAACTGTGTTGGATTCTCAAATTACAAGTTTTTTCTTTTGTTCTTGGCTTACTCTCTATTATACTGCCTTTTCATCTTTGCAACTGAGTTACAGCATTTTATTAGATTCTGGACAGTAAGTTTCAATTCATTTTCTGGTTCTGATGATGTATACACAATTGAAAATCTTGTGTCTATAAGCTTCAATTAGGTGACATTGGAAGATGTAGGGCAAAAATTATTGAAATGGGCTAATGTCAGGACTTCTGATTCCTGTGAGAATGAAACTTGGGACAGCTGTAGATATTTCAGCACCACTGCACCTTCTAATTATACTTCCCAGAAACCCATGGTTGTGTGGTACAAGGGAATATGACAGGCATTGGGATTTATTTATATATTGGTACTAGTCAATAACTGGAATATTCTGAATTATTTAAACTGTGCTTAAACTATATATAGCTCTATAGTTTTTCAAACAACGTTCTACTTAAAGCTGGTCCTTAAAATTGTGTCTTCCTGACAAGATATAATGAGAATCAGGAATATGTAAATTTCCCACCCACCCCTTCATATTCCATATACAGTATTTTATGGTAAAAGTAAGGCACGTGGCTATTTTCAAAGACATTATGTAAGGAATGGATTATTAACAATATGGCAAAGAGTAAAAGGGAAACATTATTTAGAAATATCAATGTGGCTTTCAACAATGGAAGCATTGACACATCCAAATATTAGTAATCTGAAAAATATTATTAGATACGAAGATATCTTAACAGAAAGGGGAGAACTAAAACAAAAACAAGAATTAGAAGAGCAAGACATTGCAAATACAATCAAGACATGAAAAAGATAAAAGGGAGTATGGTTTTAACTTGGGAAGTTCAGAATTGGATAAAATACTAATGGGAACAGAAGAAAGAATAATCAAGAAACTATGTAGCCATCTATTAAGAACTAGGTTAGAAGAATAAGTGGTTAAAGATACAATGTTAACTTGGGCAAAGAACTTTGACTACACGATTGAGCTAGAAAAGTGGGAACAACTATGGGAAAGGAACTATTAATAAACCATATCAACAGCTTACAAAGAAAATTTATACAAAATGTTTTATAGATGGCACATGTCACCAGAAAAATTAGCAAAGATCTTTAAAGACAAATCAGTGAAATGTTGGAAACGTCAACAAGCAACAGGTTCTTATTATCATATGTGGTGGACATGTGCAGAAGCAAGGAAGTATTGGACTAAAATAAGAGTATGGTAGAGAAAATGTTACAACAGGAAATAGAATTTAGACCAGAGATATTTTTACTAGGTATTATCCCAGAGAAACTTAAGAAAGAGGATACTTATTTGATTATACATGTAACTACAGCAGCAAGAATTGCATTTGCCCAAAATTGGAAATTAAATAAGTTACCAACAGATGAAGAGATAATAAAGAAAAATACTAGACTGTGAAGAGATGAACAGGTTGACACTGAAAATAAAGGATAAAGAGGAATAGGTGTACTTCAAGACATGGGAAAGATTATATGATTGGCTAGGGAAAGGAAGCTAGAAAAGAAAGTAAGGAGAAGATACAGAACCCAGACAATGCACTATTAAATGAAAAAAGGGGGGAGGGGAAAACAGAAAAGAAAATATTAAATATACAAGTATACAGTATATTCAAGAGTGAGATATAAAGT